AATAAAATTTGGTTGAAAAATTAGAATTCAGCACAGGCTGGATAAACAAGGTTCCTAGAAAAAGAAATGTGTACTAATGAAAAAGCTAAGTAAACTTTTTTTACAAACACCTGCCTGTACCTATATGGCATGTAGTAAATTCTTTTGAAGTAGTCCCATTACACTGTCCAATTACAAGCGTGACGCGTACACTGTCCTATTAGTGCTCAAATCGGGTGATAACTAATCACGTTCGAGAATGCTATTATAGTTTTGATTAGATTTGTAATACCTAGTGTTCCTTTTCCTTACCCTGTCGGGCTGAATTCCTCCAGCATTGGATGTACAGAGAACGTACATGAAACAAAAGGCCCGCGGCAGGTAGTTGAGAACAAAACTACTCATGACATCGCTTTCTCCTACACCAGGGCTGTCAACGATCATTACATTCTCCTGAAATTGAAACATGAATCCGTAATGAGATTCGCAGTCCTATTACTTTTTACAAGTTCCGTGGGTTATTTTTATAGATGAGTTCATTGAAATATTATTTACCATGACCAGCATTTCTCAAAAATTTTCTTAAACCATTCTTCATGGTTAGCCATTAACTTAAAAGGTTCTCGCACCTTCATTTTAATGCATTGTAACCAAAGAAACCATGGAATTTGGAACAAGCATTTATTATTCCTTTCACTGAAATTATCTTCGCCTCACACACAGCTAAAGTTTTTCAGAAATGAGCTGTTTTAATCTTTATAGTCTAACTCCATAATTTATTCCATAGAGCTACGTGCAGAGGTTTACTGTTGATCCTGAATTTTTTTATTCCGAAATTTGGTCGCAACTTTTTCGCTTCATCTATCAACTTCGTTAGTACCTTAAACAAAGGGTGTGGAAAGAACAGTTCAATTTTCTCGTAAGGTGTTTTCTCTCGATCTTCTTTGACGTACACAAACTTCTCGATTTGTTCTTTGTAGGTTTTACTTCCATCATTCAATTCGTGGAATGCTGGTTCAGGAGTTTTTGTTCCATTAGGCTTGTAGTGTACACCGACCATCGGCTTTTCTCCATATTTCAGCTCGCAAATTGTGGACGTGGTGCTTAGTGTTCTAGAGGGAAGAAGGTCTTCTCCCAAGATGAGATTAATTACACTGCTTTTTCCAGCGCTAGTCTCACCTAGTCAAGAGAGGAATCATAAAATAAAAGGCAATGACCAAGCATAATCGAAGCTTGGAAAGCGTTAAAGCAAGATCAAAAAACACTACCTGTTAGCAAGATTTAATTCATCTTGAACTGGCTTATAAAATCAGTGACTAAGTGCGAGAGCATGATACCAAAAACAAACAGAGGCCCAACCACCTTAGAAGTTTGTGGATATTGCCCTCTATTATATATAACAATTTAGGCTAAATAATATTGTCTGTTAACAGTTACGGTAATGCAAAGAAATGTTAATTAATATAAGATGCTGATGGCGTTTTTGTTGCTTCTCGAAATGATACCTCGTCCATAACGATTGTGACTGCATCCCAAGTCTAAGCGAACATAAAACTCTTTTACTGATGACAGCAAAACACACCTGCAACAAGAACAACGTACTGATCACTTGGTTCAACATTCTGTTTTCTCTCTTGCAAAGATTTATTTAGGTCTTCGAAGCTCTTTTCAAGTATTTCCAAAAATTCCGCCTCAAACTGACCCATAAACTGCTCAGTTCTTTTATAAAGATCGAGCAACTTTCTGCGTTTGTCAGCGTCCGATTTCCCAGCGTTGGAGATAACTTCGTGTGTCTGCAAGTAAAAAGATCTCAATCAAAATTGTTGAAGGTAGTTAGCACTAAATACATTTGATCCAAGTGAACACAGGTAGCGTTGCTAAACGTTTTTTCCCCTATTAGAGGCCTTTCCGGTTCACGACTGGTAGCAGCGCTGATTTTGAACACCTCCAGATCTTCAATCTTGTAAATCAGCGATGAATATTGCATTTTTGACGAGTTTTTTTTTTCGAGGAACCCATTGGATATACTTAGCTGTTGTCTAAAGCTTTAAACAGTAGTCACTCTTTTTATATATTGAAACTAGCCGGGCTACCTCTCTACGAGTGAGCACCAATCCCCCTTGACCCGCAAGCGATTCCTCTAAATATTCCATGGAACACATGAATAAAACGATTGTACAGACTGTCAAAATTCCGTGTCGAAAATATTACTTCGACCACAATGACAAGTTTGAAAAAAATTAATATTTAGGGACAAAACCCTTATGGGGAGAGGGGATGCCATTTTCGATTAGCAAATTGTGCATTTGTATGAATATTCTTTCGAAGGATACGGAGACTTCAGAGCTTCAAAAAAGGACTGAAATCGTCACTATTACTGCAAGCCAATAGGTCCTAATTGTTGAATAAAAATGAAAATGAAGCCATCGATCTATAGTCTGGAGAACCAAACGAAACATGTACTGGGTATAGCGGTATTGATACATTCCTGCGTTGCCTCATTCTTGATCACGCATTTCAACCATTCTAAATATTATGCAAGAATAACAATGGATAAATTTGCTTTAAAGCAGCAAAACAAGCGAAACCGGCAATGTGTACTCCGACAGCTTAGATTTACATATAGTCGGATAATTTATCATATTCCGCATAAATATCAGGGATATCTGAACTGAAAAAGTGTTACTGTGATTGCATACCTCTCCAATCTTTCGCGACGAAGTCTCCTCCAACCCTTTTAAATGCTCACGAAGTTTGTTCTTCACCTCACTTAAGGAATCTAAGCCTTTTGTTGAAAGACCAAAAGATTTAACTAATTCGCAAGCTTCTTGTATATCGTCTATGGTATCCACTTTCTCCAGCCCCGTAGACATCATGCGTTTTTGACAAAATTCTCGAGAAGTCACGTCAACAGTAGAGTATTTTTTTAAATGGCGTCAAATAATACCCAATGCAAGGTTGCTTCTTTTAAAAGCACTCGTAATGTTGCATTCCTCAAATCCTAGTTATCCATTTACCAGCCTATAGAGATGCTCAACGGTTGACTCAAAGTCGCTGTGCCACAGACAAATCCTAGTCATGCGCCACAAAACTCGGAAGGTAAAAAACAAGACAGGATTTTCTCCTGTGCACGATCACTTGATCTCTTAACAGACCATAATACTCTTCTCAGACGGTTGGCGCTCTGAAATTCAATGGTGAATCCATATTAAGCATCACATAAAACGCTTAGAAAGTGCCTGTACGAAGTATTTATGAAATAAGTTCAACAGGCAAAACAATTCAGTTTGCAAAGAACGAAATACACGTACCGCGTCACGGTCGTTTAAAAGAATCAATTGTTAGCATGATTCATCAGGCTACAGCCGTCTCGTAAGTATCATTTCCACATATTAAACAGTTAACTCGACTAAGCTGTATCTCACCTTATTTTGCTTCTGGGGGTAATGGAAAAGGTTTAAATGCAAAGATCATTGTTCCTTGCCCAAAGAAATACAAAATAAGACATTTCAGGTTTAACTAATTCTGAGAAAACTGCGATGGTTTTTCTGGGAATAAGGGAAAGTCCCTGTCATTACACATTTGTCACAGACAGGTAAACTGTTTTGTAAGTCTCTATTTAATCTCTCTCATTTGTGGTTTTCTTTGCAAATAGTTCTATTCCAATATGTATCAGTATTTCAAAACGCTGATAAATTGATTGGCGCGATGTGATCCCACTTCAATCTGTAATGTAAGAGCCAAAATCAGATAGTTCTCGCGTTTACGACGAGTAAAGATTGTTTGTATGTCATGGTTGAAAGACATGCCTGTCATCACCACGAGCTGCCAGCCAATGAAATGATAAAATGTGCGACACTTATAGCAATCAGAAGCGATTTCCTAGAAAACAAAATCATCGCAAAAATGTTATCTATCTTGGCTTTTCCGTCCATGTTTATAAGAGAATTCTAAAAAACTTTCGGACGTGAGCGGTTTTCAACAAGGGATTCATGGTTGACTCACGCTAAATAGCTTTGGAATGTTTGACTTCTATAAATAAAGAAAGAGCATCTGTTTTTGTTGAGGTATAGTTCTGTTAGAGGCCGACTGATTCAACGTCAATATTAGACTTTGATTATTCTTGAAATTAGCCGGGGATTGGTAGTTTAGAAGAGCAAAGCGGTTGATAACGCTAGTATTTTTGCCGAAGATTTCTATTATATCAGGTTCAAGAGTGACTTCACTGCTTCAAATTAAAGGTCGCTTTGCACTGAATGTAAACATGACATGACACCTTGATTACCGTGAGTCGTCACATGATAATTCTAGGAAAGTAGGCCTTCCAAACAATCCCAAAAATTAAAAAATTCATTCTCTACTGGGCGCCGTATATTCAATTTCCCACAGTTTCTTTTGGAAGAAAAAAATGGAAGCCATCAGACAAAGATTTAATGAGGCAGATGACATAGCCGAGGTTATCAATATAGTGCAGAATTTGAGCATTCCAACTACAGGATGCCAAAACATCGAAGAAAGAAGGAAAGGATGCTCGCTCATCTAAGCTCTCGAAAGATAACCGCTCGGCCTGCAATGAGGTAAGACTACCAGGAAAATAATTTAATTTTACAAACTTTTAATTGGCAGCAAGTATCCTTTAATGCTATTCCTTTCAGTTGTGCCTTTCGATAGCGAGTCGATGAATTTTTAGACTAAACTTGTCATCACATCGCTGTAGCTTATCGACGTGGCATCGTAAAACGAATGGTTCAGAATCTATGAGGCTTTCATGTATCATATATCGTTACTATCTAAGATGTCTTGCAGTAACAGATTTTTACTATTATTACGTGATTAAAACTACTGCAAAGATTTCAAGGAAACATAGAAACGCAACTTGATCCTTAAATCCAGCTCTATAATTTCAGGTCTGTTCGGGTACTGATCAATGCATCAATCGACCCAACATAATACAGCAGAACAGCTGCAGATCGCTCGCTTGTAAATTTGTTAATTCTTAGCGTTATTAAGTTATTTTCTCAAACTGGCTCCGAATTTTTTACTTAGAAACACCTAAAGACCATTATTCTCTATATTGTTTTTATTCTGTGTCATGGCTCAATGGTTCGGCCGCTTGCCATTGCTACAATGGCCTTGCTGCCAAAGTAGTTGGGCTTCTGCTTTTAAGAAATTGCTTGAAGCTTTTAAACTCACTGTCACGAGTAATCGAGCATTTGTACTCTTTCTTGGTCAGTTATCGGTCGTAGACAGTACTATCAAGCTTGCCATACGAAAAATATGATTAACTATGTCAATATGATGACAGAATCATGTGGCAAAAGACCTCATAGTCATTTGGCAGACAGTTCACCGAAGGAAATTGAAATTAGTTAGGCTCAGCTTTCTATTTTGTTCTGATCGGTGAATTCACAACAGCAGGCAGACAGTAAGGTCTCGAACACAAAATGAAGTAATTACTTCAGTCCTTTCGACCTCAAAATTTAATTGTAATTCATCTGGCTCACGGTGTCTGCCATTTGTTTCTTGCAAGGTTACTTGAGAATTAAACTAACAATAATGAAACCTTATGACTTTTTTTTTTCCTTTCTACTTGAAAACTATATTAGCGATATATCCAGATAAAGAAAATAGGTGGCTTTGATGAAATGTCATGTCATTCGGTGGAACTAAGCTGTAGGTGGCAGTGAGAGAAAATGAAAATAATTTCCTCCTGGCACAAACAAACTCTTTAGTTGTAGTGTATATGAGGTCTGACAGTAATGATTTATGCATCTCAGCCACTTAACAACAGGTGAGTTCTTGCTTAATGGACGTTCAAGAATCTCGTTAACGTTTTTATACTCTAAATTATGCATGCATAGTTAGTATATGTGGTGAACTGTACTCAATCTCTAACCGAGGGTCGGCGTAGCTGCATTTGGTCCGGAAATACGTTCTTATTTTCCCTGTGGCTTTTTTGGGTTTTTCATAACAGGCGGGTGCTCGTTTGCCTTGTCTAAGTGTTGTAAACTAAGTTTCGATCGCCCTTGTTATGTAAAGCTACTTACTTGAGCTTTTATTTCTGCAATGACACGGACGGCAGTAAACACTCAGTTCGACCTGCACACCCATACATTTGTCGTTTTTCAGTTGTGAATAGGAATATAGAACGTAACTGATACTTTACCAACTTAAACTCGGCGCTGCATTTTTAACAAGCAAAAAAACAACTTTCTTGAAT